CTGAACAGTGACACATATGCATGCTTTTGGAGTTGAGTATGTGAATGACATGTATGCATTTTTCCCCTTTGATGCTATGAAGTGTTGACCTTACAACTTCTTTATGAATCACAAACAATTTTATAGCATTTTTTATTGCAAATTTACGTATTGTGAAAAAGAATGTTCAGTTTCTGTTTCTTTTTTTCATGAAGCAGATACTGTAGAAATTCCTGTTATTAGTTATACAGCATCGTGAATGTGCATAGCTGCAAGTGGTTTGAGTGTAGGTAGTCCTCAACTTACAACAATTCATTTAGTGACCATTTGATATTAAGACACTAAAAAAATGACTCATGCCTTTTTTTTACAACCATTGCAGCTTCCCCATAGTCACATGATCAAAATTCAGACACTTGGCAAAAATATTTATGAGCCACTGAATCACTGTGGCACTGTCCTGGGATCTGGTGGTCACAACTGGTTCATATTTATGAACCAGTGAACCATCGTTGCTGTCAGGTTTCCAAGTGATGAAATCCATTTTAAAAGAAAAGAGCAAAGTTCATCTTCCAAAATAAATTCTTTTATTTAGGAAAGCATCAAATTGGCAAAGTCCATGGTAATTCCTGATCTGATACAACCCAAAATTACCCCACAGTATTACAAGTTAGAAACAACCACCCCAAAGTCACATTCCCCAATAGAAATAATTCTACATTGTTTGATGTCATAAATCTCCACCTCAAGGGGCCTAAGCACAGACAGCTTGTGTTCCCACGGGAAGAAGAACTACCTAGCCTAAACAACTCTCTCTATTTCCACTCCTCCCCTCTTAGGAATGTGGCAAGCCCGAAACCCATCCCCCCATGACTGCCACAGAGAAAGTAAGAAAAAGAATATAAACTAAGCCTAACTAAAATGGCTACACACATGTCAATTTCTGGCTTGACAGTTGCATTGTACCAGGATCATGTGATCACTTTTGGGATCTCACAAGCAAAGTTTTTGGGGAAGCGAAATTCACTTAACACCGGTGTTACTAGTAATAGAATAGAATAACAGAATAATAGAATTGGAAGGCAGCTTGGACATCTTCTAGTCCAATTCCCTGCTTAAGCAGGAAACCTTATACCATTACAGACAAGTGGCTTTCCAGTCTGTTTGTAAACGCCTTCAGTATTGGAGCCCCCACAATTTCTGGAGACAAGTTATTATACTGTTCTCACTATCAGGAAATTCCTCCGTAGTTCTGAGTTGCTTTTCTCCTTGATTAGTTTCCATCCATTGCTTCTTGTCCTGCCCTCATTTGCTTTGGAGAATAGCTTGACTCCCTCTTCTTTGTGGCAGCCCCTGGGATATCGGAACCCTGATATCATGCCACCCCTAGTCCTTCTTTTCATTGAAATAGACATACCCAATTCCTGCAACTTAAGAACTGCAGTGATTCACTCTCAAAAACTGTGGCAAGAAAGATAAAATGTGGCAAAACTCACTTAACAATGGTCTCACTTAATAACAGAAATGTTGGGCTCAATTGTGGTTGTAAGTCAAGGACTACCTATACTAGATGGAGCAGGGCAATTGTAAACCAGGGCAATTAAAACTGATACTAACGACCATGTTTCCCTGAAAATAAGGCCTTGTCTTATATTTTTTTTACCACCCAAAAAGGCACCAGGTCTTATTTTCAGGGGATGTCATTCACTGACTAATCTCACTTGTGCGTGGCACCCCCCTGTCTCCTTTTCACTGTCAAAGGCCTTCAGGAACTTCTTCTGCAGCTGGCAAGACTTTCCTGAAGGCCTCTGCAGCTGATAACAGAACTCTGGATGGATCCAGCTTTGCCAGCTACAGAAGAAATGGGCTGGCAAGGCAGGTGTCGGGGTGTGCAAGGCCTGGCTACAACGGTCCAAAGGTGTGTAGTAGGGCATCTCCACACACACCCATCCCCACCCTAGCTTAATTTTTACCCGTGCACTCTGGAGTGGGTGGGATCTTAATTAGGACTTATTTTGGGGTTAGGGCTTATATTGGGCTCACATGTAAAAATCAAACTAGGGCTTACTTTCAGGATAGGTCATATTTTGGGAGAAACAGGGAAATTATAGTTAGTCCTGGAATTTCAACGGTAACGGAGCCCTGACCATTATGGGCATAGCTCATGTCGGTTATAAAACACGATGGACCTGATCTTACATCCGTGTGTGTGTGTGTGTGTGTGTGTGTGGTGGGCCTGCAGCAAATGCCACAATTGTTAAAGTGAATCGGTGATTCGCTAGGAATACAATTTTGCTGAAAACCAGAAGCAAATGCCAGTTTTCAGCAAAACTATTGTAAAATGCAGTCATGTGATTATGGGATCCTGCAAACATCCGTAAATGCAGCTTGGTTGCCAAGCAATGGAAGTGCGGTCATGTGACTATCGGGGTGCGTGGGGGCCATTGGAACTTCAAACCTGAGTTGTACATAGCCCCGAAGTAGGCCCGTCAGAAGTTCAAATGCTCACTAAACAACTGGTCGTAATTCAAGGATGAATTGAGTGAACATAGGAGGAGAGACATGCTACTGCACGGCAGCAAAACATCTGAAGGTGTTTTGTGACATCTTTTCAAGCTAGAGATATTATTATTTATCTGCTTTCCAAATGAACCGCAGTTCCCAGAACCCTGTGCCTTTTAATAATGTGATGATTTTAAAATCAGATTCTTTCTGGTTGTTTGACTAGTTAATGTAAATAGTGGTACAGAAAATTGGAATGAGTCATGCCCTCGTGTCTTGGTATGTCTTTACTCAATTTCAGGAAACTGTAGAAGAGTTTTAATTCACTTTTCTCCTAATGAATAGGTTGTTAAGATAATTACAATCTAATGAAGAAGACTTTTCTCAACAAATACCTGTAGGATGAACAATTTGCTGCTTAGCTACCTTATGTCATACACTTCGTGTTACATGGATTCTTCTTTTCAAACTGTAGCAGCTGGCTTTAAATTCATATGACTTTTTAGAAAGTCAGTTTTTGAATTAATTAACTGTGGTGACAGTTTCGGGAAGAAGCCTACGTTCTCTACGATTCAGGAGAAGAAAATGCTTATCATGTAAATATAAAAAGTTATCTAGTCCAGGTTTCCTCGACTTAACAATAGTTTGGTCACTATGTTGGAAGTTATAGTGGCGTTGAAAAAAGTAACTTATGACCATTTTTCACACTTATGACTGTTGCAACATCCCCATGGTCATGTAATCAAAATTCAGACACTTGGCAACTGACTAAAATTTATGACATATTTCTAAAGCACCTGAAGGCCAGACAAGGAATAATGGATGGAAACTGCACAAGGAGAGATTTAACCTGAAAATAAGGAGAAATTTTCTGACAGGGAGAACAATCAACCCATGGAACAGAAGTTGCCTTCGGAAATTGTGGGAGCTTCATTGCTGGAGGCTTTCAAGAAGAGTTTGGATTCCCATCTGTCAGAAATGGTGTAGGGTCTCCTGCTTGGGCAGTGGGTTAGACTAGATGACCTACAAGGTCCCTTCCAACTCTGATTATCTGTTAAATCTGTTAAATGATGGTTGCAGTGTCCTAAAGTCACGTAATTGCCTTTTGAGACCTCGCAAGCGAAGTCAATGGGGAAGCCAGATTCACTTTAAAGAACCGTGCCACTAACTTAACAACTGCAGTGATTCACTTAACAATTATAGCAAGAAAGGTCATAAAACGGGGCAAAATTCACTTAACAAATGTCTCACATAGCCACAGAAATTTTGGGCTCAAATGTGGTTGTAAGTCAAGGACTACCTACCTGTACAGTAATCTCAGAAGTTATGTTGTGATTCAATACTGAAATCACAGGATTTCAAAATCATGCCTCCTTTACTTTTTTACTGAAACCTGACATTAATCTAATTTGTCAACCTGAAAAGTTCTCCCTTAGCATTTCTAATTAAAAGAAAATTAAAGTAACTAGACCATGGAAATATTACTTTGCAAAATATGTTTGGTAGTTTCATTACGAAGTGTATTTTGTCCTAGATTTTCTAGGCAAATTATACACCTCTAAAAAGTAGTTATTAAGCTAACAAATTACTGAACTTGGTTAACTTATTTTTGTAGTGACTGAGTTTACCATAATAATTGCAGGTACAGCTCGAATGTTTTAACCGGTCAGATAATTAACCAAGGGTCTCTAATTTTACTTAAAGTATTCTTTATCTTGGATAACAAGGTGCCAGAGGCCAAACAGATAGTAACATTTGTGAATTGCTGATCAGAGCTAGATTAGTTTATGTCCATGCAGTGAAAGGCTATCTATTTTATCAGTGCATCTTGCAGAATACCAAATGCTGTATTTCATTTGTAGAACTAATTAAATGAAATAATCTTGCAGAGAAATGAAGCTTATTCTTTAGTATATTGATAATTATTTTGATTTCATGTTCTTTTTACAAAAATATGTAAAGCTCCCTCTTTTAAGCAACTATAAAATGCATTTCAAAGGAATACTTTCCATTTAGAAGGCTTTCTTGCTCACATAATTGTTCACCTAATGAACATGGTATTAAGAATTTAGCACACTTGGGAAAAAAAAAATCAAACCTCCATCTTAATTGTCTAAAACGTTCAGCACTACGAGCTTTTATTCAGTCTGTCTTTTAATATTTGGCTTTTATTAACTGAGTACAAAAACAAACTGAAAAGTAAACAATCTGGAAATGTTGAAAAGGAAAAAAAAACCAGAAGTAATAGAAATGGCATTTATCCGTAGACAGAAATACATAATATAATCATCTACACGCAAGTAACTAAAGGAGAATATTTGTAGCTCAGGGTTGAAATGAGGGATCCATGGTGCTCTCTGAGCTTGCAAGATGGGGCAAGATTCTCTTAACAACTGTCTTGTTTAGCAACAGCAATTTTAGGCTCCAATGTGGTAATAAGTCGAAGACTACCTGTATACCATTGAGTTCCTTTTCCCTGATTTGACTTTCTTTTCCCTCTGTTTTCTTTTTCCTTCTAGGCTTTAGATCAAGACAGAACTGCACTACAAAAAGTGAAAAAATCTGTAAAAGCAATATATAATTCTGGGCAAGGTAAGCTTTATTTCTCTATATTATTATGTACTACGTGTTAACAAATAATAAAATATGTTTGAAATAGATTGTTTTGAACTATGAGGATTAGGGAGAATTTCAAAATATAATGGAGTGGGAAAATACAGATTATTACTATAATATTTTCACAAGAGATGAACCGGACTAAGGGAAGTAACTTTAAACTTTTTTAAAAATGTATTTTTTTTCCTGTTTGCATCCTTCTGTTTGTATTCCTAGGAATTATTTAAAGGTTCAGGACCTTTTAAATGTCTCTCTCGCTATATCGGTCTCTACTAAGCAAGTAGAAGGCAGGTTCATTTAACAATCATGTTACTAACTTAGCAACTGCAATGATTCACTGAACAACCTAAGAAAGATGGTAAAATGGGGAAAATTTCACTTAACAAATTCTCTCTTACCAACAGAAATTTTGGGCTCAATTGTAGTCATAAGCCAAGGACTGTTCTGACCAAGGCTTTCGAGACCGTAATTATGCGCACATGCTTATTTTAAAAACAAGTCTTGTTTTATTGCAACGCTGGGAATTATTTTCATTCCAACCGGTAATGAATCTTAAACAGTCCCTTGAGATAAGCACCCTCCTTTCTTTCCTGTGAAGTGCTGCCAATAAGAGAAGTGTCCAATGAACTAGAAAAAACAACAACAACCGAAGTACAGAGTTTCAAGAATGAATCTGAACGGAACGAATGAGTTTGCTTCCTGAAAAGGTTTCGTCATCTTTGCTTGTCCTTTTACCTTATGGGAGGGGCAATCACCTCCCAGCCCTACTCCTGAGTCACCCCTTTTGTTTCAGCTGCTCTTGCATTCTAGCAGCTCTGCACACACGTACCCTGGGAACAGGCTCCCCTGGGTCCTCTGCCTTGCTACTGCCAGGCTCCAGAGGCAGCACCCCACTCCCAGATGGTCCTGGCCCCATCTCTGCATCAGACACAGGACCCTCGTCCAAATCCTCTCCAGACACCAGGACTGATCCCCTTTCTTCACCACTGTCCGATTCTGCTGCTATCTGCACAGGCCACAACAAGGACTACCTCTGTATAGTTCTTTGTATTATCAATATATTTTAAAAAATACTCCTAAATCTTCAGAATAGTTATGGTGTTCTTTCAATTTTCTTTATTTCTAAATACATTTTTGGATATATATTTGACATACTGGTTAAAACCAGGAGAATCTGTTGTGGTTAGCCGGCAGCAGGTGTGGACGGCTGAGGAGAGCGAGGACTCAGATGAGGGGCCAGAGAGAGTGGACTGCTGCCTTCAGAGATTGTGGGGGCTGGCAGCAGCGATGAGGAGGTTCCCGAGGAGCCTGTGCCAAGTGCGCATGTGCGCAGGATTTCTCGCAGGAAAGAGCAGCTACAACAGCACGGGCAACTCAGGAGTAAGGCTGTAAGTTAATGGTCCCTCCTTCAAGAAGATAAAAGGCAGCTGTGCAGTGAACAGTCTTTGTAGGAAGCAAAGACGTTTTGAAACTCAGCCTCGTGGACATTACAGTTTGTATTTGAAGACTCTTGTGTTGTAAACTATTTCTTATCTGTTGTTTTTTGGTAGACTTGCAAAAACTTGGCAAGGCTCTTTCTTGTCAGAGCTAATTAGTTGGAAGCAGCCTTTTATCTGAAGAAACAGAATTCATAGATGAAGCATTAAAAGGTTGTGCTGCTGCCTTTGTCTTGTGTTTGCTCTTTTGGAAACAGGTTTGGGTCAGAGCAGAACCAATATTTGATGCAAGTGGTGATCTCTAAAAAATATCATGGAAGATGAATTTAGAGAGTGAGAAAGCTTCCTTCTATTTCCACTTGCCAGCCCATATTTATTTAAAATATTTATATGCAATGCTCTTCTTACACAACACAATTCTGAGTGGCTCATAACAACACTCAAAAGGTAATAAAACCCAAAGAAATAAAACAGTTTCAAACAACCATAGGTGCCATAACATTCCTCAACAGCTATATCAATCATCATCCAGGTAGTAGTAGCTAAATGATTTGATATACATGCACTAATAAATCTTACTGGCGAATATTAACAGTTTTCCTAGAATAACATCTGCTTTTAGCACTAAAGGTAATAAGCGTGACATTCAGCACAATGGCAATTCGGCAGCGTTGTTTACATTCATAATTAATTTTTAATCCCTCTTCCCTACATTAAAAAAGAAACATGCTTGACTTCTGGTTTGAAGGGCTTCAGCAACAGACAGAAATCCGCAATCGTGCGCGGATTCTGTTTGGGCTCGCCGCTGGAGCGCCCCGAGACGGCTGGTTTCGGGGCTAAGCCACCCCATAGAGTTGGTGAAGAGGGGGGAGATTGCCAGCAGGGTTGAGGAGAGCCGCATCTCTCCTCCTCAGCTGGCCATTACTCCCTTTCCCGAAGGCAGTTGTAGTGGTGGTCAGAAATGGACACCACAAAGGAGAACTGGACCGGAAAAGAATGTTCAGGAGGAAGATAAGAAGTGAAAGTTTTGGCTGACTGGGTTAAATTGTAAAAGCAACAACTAAGGTACCCTGGTATTTAAACTTACAAAAAATAACATTGCTCCCAAAGAAGAGTCGGAAGCAGCGAAGGAAAGTGAACAGGAAAAGGTTTGGCTTTTTTCCCCCTTCTCTCTCCTTCCCTATATTGACAACTAAGAGACTTAAATAAGAAATCGGAAAAATTCGCTTTGACATCAATAGGCAATTAAGCTGAAAATAAAACAAAATGCCAAAGGGATAATAAAAATTTCTGGACATTAAAAATTTTCTTTTTCATAAGCAGGAAGGGAGAGAAAAAGAATAAGGGCAGGATCTGGAAGAGGGAGGAGACTGCCTGGAATTTAAAAAAATCTACAGTAAAACTTCAACAAGACTTCTAAAAGATACATTTTAACTGAAACTTTGCAACTAAATAGTAACCACAAGAAGAAGAAAAAAGAGCAAAAAAGAAACAGCTTGGGTGTATTTGGATTATTTGGTGATTTTTGGTTATTATATTTGAATGACTAAAATCAATTGGGTGATTTTTTAAAAATTTATACAATGGCACCACTTCTGGATGAATTGAAAATGGAACTTAAAAAGTATAAAGAAGATGCACAAGAAGGGAAGGGTTCTTTTGGCTTCGTTTTTCAATTCTTAGAAATGGAGATTTGGAACTATGAGAAACAACAAGAAAAGACTGGAAAACAAGAAGACTGGGACAAAGAAGAAGCCATCTTTAATGAACAAGCAATTTTATGTAGGGAGGAAAAAGCAAAGGGAGGAAAGAGAATGGAGAATTTAAGACTTAAAAAAACACCCAAAGAAAAGAAAAATAATTCGAAAAATAAGTATAATACTGGAAAGCAACAGAAAAGGGGAATACAGAAGAGAAATAGAGGTAGAGAGACAAGGGGGTAAAAAGGGGAGAGAGAAGAAGAGAGGGAAGAAGGAAAGGAAAAGAAGTTACAAAGGACCGGGGCAAGATATAGAGAAATAGGACCTATTTAGAGATAATGGGTGAAAATCTAACTGAAAAAGGGATTCTGTAAAGGAACATAAGATTGTATTGTTATATTAGTAATAGAAATAACTTTAGAAAATTGGAAACAACCTATGATTCAAATGAGGGATAAAATAGTGTAATTTAGTGAAATGTTTGTGAATAAAATAAGTGAAATAAAATAAATGAGAAAATTGAATTAGGAAGGAACGGGAACATTTTAATTAGTTAATGTTTTATAAAATATAAGTGAAGAGGGGGGGAATTAACTCTGGAAAGCTTATAATTGTTCCTATAGAAGTATGATATTTAATTGAAAAGTAATGTTAAAGATGTTAAGACTTTAATGAATATTAATATTAATGATAGAATTGAATTGGAATGGAATGTTGTTTTAATTATATACATTTATAATTTTTTCTTTTTTTAAGAATACAGTGTGTATTTTAAGAATGTACCAAGCAGAATCCGAATGGAAGTTATGTATTATGTGTTACAACTTTAGGGAAAAGATATAAAGGCTTCATACTCCAATCAGTAACTACAGGGGAAATTTTGTTTAATGAGAAAAGATAATGGATATTTGAAACAGGACAGACAAAAAATATAAATACAATGATTTGAATTGAGACGAGATAATTAAAATAAAATTGAGAAAGTTAAAAGAGGGGAGAAGCTATGCAGAAAATGTAAAACAGTAATAAGATATGGAATAGAACATAAAAATGAACATGAACCTGAATTTGTGTCTGTACGAAGAAATGTAACCCGGGATTATGCTACTTTCAAAAAAGATGTTTTATTTGTATTTTTTTTTCTCTTTGTGAAAAGTCAAATAAAATTTATGAAAAAAAAGAAAGAAAAGAAATGTGCTTGCATTTTTTGTAGGTGAAAAAGAAAAAAAATCTTAAGAGTTGTTGTCAGTCAGATACCTTAAATACTGGAATAGTGGTAACCGGGCCTTGATATGCTGATTCTGTAAACTGCTTATAGAGGGTTATAAAGCACCTGTTACGTATCTGTTCAGAGCCTTTAATGAACAAGTTCAGTTATATTCCCAGAAATAAATATGTTGTTGGAAGGTATTGTATTGCTTTGCATCCTGGCAACTTTAAAAAAGAACAAAAACCAAATTAAACCAGATGAGGCAGAACAAGTGACAGACAACAAGAGAGATTTGGAACTTGGCTGAGCGGCCAAAATAAGCATCTAAATTTATTAGAGGAAAGTATCAAAGACAGATATAAAGATAATATAACCGCCAGTACTCACATTGTTTATTTATTTGTATCCCACCTTCATTATTTTTACAAATAACTCAAGGCGGTGAATATATTGAACACATCTTCCTTGTATTTTATCCACAACCACAACCTTGTGAAGTAGGTTGGGCTGAGAGAGAGGGATTGGCCCAAGGTAACCCAGCTGATTTGCATGACTAATTTGGGACCAAAACTCACTGTCTCACTTGATTGACACAAAGTCACCCAGATGGCTTTCCTGGCTAAGGTGGGACTAGAACTCACAGTCTCCTGGTGATTGATTCAAAGTCACTCAGCTGGCTTTCATACTTAAGGTGGGACTAGAACTCACAGTCTCCTGGTGATTGACTCAAAGTCACCCAGCTGGCTTTCATGGCTCAGGTGAGACTAGAACTCACGGTCTCTCGCTGTCTAGCCTGATGCCTGAATTAGAGACGAAAGTGGACTAGGACTAGCTCTTATTTATTTAATTCGTTTAATGTAAATGGTCTTACAAGAAGACCAGTTGCCAAGTACCCAAAATGTGATCATGTGACCACAGGGGTATGTGTGGCAATCGTAACTTTGATATTAGGTTGTAAGTAAGTTTTGGGAGGTCCGCTATAACTTTAAACTGTCACTAAGCAACCAGTCATATGTTGAAGACTGCATGTATACCTCTGCCATTCAGAGTTGTTTTCTGGTAAATGGGCAGTATGTATGTTAACAGACAGACAAATACTTTGTAATTCAGGCTTAATATTGAATCTTGAGATTGAATAAATTTTGTCTTTGAGTTCTTTCTACAGTTTCTGAAATGTAAGAATTTGTATTCTGTGCAGCCATTCTTGGTCCCTTTTGAAGCATGCATAATATATATATATATTAATTAGAGACAGACAGACAGACAGACAGAATATGTTGGCCAGGAATTTCTACAGCTGGACCAATAAAATATTTCTTCTTTGGGTCCCTGTCTTTTATCTCGCCTCTCATGGCTGTGATACAGTTATTTAGCATTACTAATATATTCAATACTAATAGTAAGAAATACTTGAGTATCATGTCGAATACAGCTGTTGTAAGATGGTGACAGAGCAGAAGAGATTTTTAATTAGCCTTTAGTTTGTT